TCAGTTCAAACGTATGCCGTTTGGACTCACAAATGCTCCAGCGACATTTCAACGTCTACTGGATAGCCTGATTGGACCAGACCTCTATCCCCATGTCTTCGTCTACCTAGATGACATCATTATCGTGACAGAGACTTTTGAGGAACATCTCTACTGGTTAGAGAAGGTGCTTGAGCGGATTAAGACCGCTGGTCTCACCATTAATCGAGAAAAAAGTGTCTTGGTTGATACCTTTCGATGGTAAAGGTTCCGTCGTTTTTCAGCTAGAACTCTGAGAGGCAGAGTTCCGGAAATGATACACAATGCTTCTTCGGATACTGTGCGGAAGGCGCTTGCAACTCGTAGGGCACTCATACGATAGATTGGTCCTGCCTTTCTTCATGAATCTTGCTTCTCTAGTGCGTCAGCCCAAATGGATATTCCATAGGTGAGCACCGATGTGACTACCGATGACAATAATAGCCTTCTGCTCTGCTTTGGGCCTCCGACGTTCGGCATCAATCGTGCGAGACTAGCTCTCACTACTGATGCTTTAGTACCGACGTGTTCCACTTGCTGCTTGAAGTTGAGTCGAGCGTTAAGCATCACTCCCAGATATCGTATATAAGGTTGTGTTGTTATTTCTTGTTCGCCAACATTCAGCTTGATGGTCTCTATCACTTTTCTGCTAGTAATAAGCACTGCTTCGGTTTTGTGCTTAGCCAGTTGGAGATTTACTGCATTCATCCATCGGTTAACTCGCTCAAATGTGATGTCAAACAGGTTGCAAATTTCGTCAAGGTGTTTTGCGACAATCACTACGGCTACATCATCCGCGTATGCTACGAGTTTGACGCATCTTGGGATTTTCAGTCTCAATAGTCCGTCATACATGATATTCCATAACAGTGGGCCAAGAACAGAGCCCTGTGGAACACCACCGGTAATATCATATTCTTTGGGACCGTTTTTCGTGTCGTATTTTAGCACTCTATCTGTAAAGTAGCTAGTCACTATTCTGCGTAGATATGCTGGAACGTTTTTCTTTTCATGAGCTTGTATGATGCGGTCCCAGTTAGCGGAGTTGAAGCCATTCTTAATGTCTAAGGCAGCTATCAGGCAATACTCCTTTGTACCACCCTTCCATATAGTTCCTGCGATTGCCTCCTTGGCCGTATTAACAACCAGGTTGATTGCATCCAGGGTTGATCGTCCCTTCTAAAATCCATATTGGGTGACTGCCAGGAGTAGGTCAACTACTGCATCTATCCGTTGATGAATTATACGCTCAAATATCTTACCCACCCCATCTAGCATGCAAAGTGACGATTTTTCTGGTGGTTTCTTCCCTTTAGGTAACAGTACCAATCGTTGCTGTTTCCATTTACGAGGAAAAGTCCCCTCTTTGAGGCATGCGTTGTAGACGTCTAAGAATAATGTTGGTGCTGCCTTTATGATGGTCTTCATGGCTATATTAGGGATTCCGTCCAATCCCGGCGCTTTATTATTTCCTACGCGGTTGCAGGCCTCCAGCAATTCTTCATCAGTGACAGGTGGAATATCGTCTAGTTCGCCTGAGAATAACTGATAATTGAAACTGTTTTGCTGTGGAAACAATGCAATGACGATTTTCTGAAGGAGTTGAGGACACGTAGATGACGGTATTTGTTGTCTTTTCAGGTGGGTCATGACCACCTTATAAGGCCTACCCCACACGTCTTTATCCACCTCGTATATGAGCTCTTTCCAGCATCTTTTTTTGCTCTCTTTGATGGCCTTATTCAGTTCACGACGAGCTTTTTTGTACTCTGCTCAGCACTTTGATCAGCACTGCAGAGTTAGGTCGTTGGTAGCCACGCTGAGACATTCTTCTCTTTCTATGACACTCTTTACGAAGGTTGCTGATGTGATCGTTCCACCAGTGTACCACAGGTCTTGAAATTATGCCATGTTTACGAGGCATACTGGCATCACAGGCTTGTGTTACTCTCATCATCAGCTCCTTAGTCTGATCTTCTGCACATCCAGTCTTGATCGAGCCACTATCGAGGGCTATTATACTTCTGGGTCAAAAAATTTCACCTTTCAACCAACGATGTTAGGTTGCTTGATAGGTTCCCTGAGGTTCTGGTCATTTGATGTTTCCCAGAGTATCGCATGATGATCACTGACAGTGTAGATGTCCAGTACCTACAGTCGCCTTCTTAGGTTCGTTGCCCTTCTCTGCCAGTCGTTAGGGAGGGCTTTTTTTCAAGTCCTTCTTTGTGACTTTGTCGGTTGGCTCTGGCGAGTTTCGGTCCTTTCTCTTTCCAGGCCTTGTGTCAGTTTCACCCTTGTCGTCAGCGTCTGATTCACCGTCACCTTCGGCTCCGGTGTCCATTGCTTCGTCAGTCACGCCGTCAGCTTGACAGGGTTTCTCCGGTGTATCACGGGAAGTGCACTGCAATGATGAGCGCCATTCTTTGTCCAGTTTCTCAAACCTTTGAAGGGCGTTAGCTACACTAGTCGTCTTGGACTTCATCTGCTTGTGAGTATTGACCTTTGACTGTACGAAATCATTCAACTCACTGGTCAACTTTTTAAGGCGTTCGAGAGCTTGCGACCGCTTCATTTCAGCGCTTGCGTCAATCGCTGCTTGTTGGGCATGAAGCCCGTTTCCAATCTTGTTTGTTTCCTGTAAGTTACTCATACTTTTTGATTTACCAGCGCATCGTACGGAGTGGAGCGGGCTGCCATAACTAGGAACGGGTGTACCCTCGGAGATAGTACTCCTACCCCAGTTCCCTGAGGCCTAGTTGGCACTTAGCTAGTCCCGGAATATAGTCCAATCAAAAAGACCGTGAAATCGGGTTTTTCACATATACGGATAAATTTTTCAATGTTTTTTTTTTTATTTTTTTTTTAAATTATAAACAACAATCGTAGAGAAAAAAAAATTTTTTTTTTCATCCCTTCTATTAAAACTGAAGGGGTGGAAACGGATTTACCTCAATATTTCGCTCAAAACGGGTTTAATTTAAAAAAATTTTTTTTTAATTGAATTTTAAATTTTTTTTATAAATTTTGATGTAGCATTTATATTTTTAGACTTTTACCTGCAGGTAAAAAAATTTATTAAAGACAGGTGATTTATGTTTCAGTCCTACGCCTTTGTAGAAAGAGACAGAAAATTCAGCTATTTCGCTCTTACTCATTGTAGCTACGGTCACCGTGGCGCGCGTGCGCAAACTCGTTGCTTACATGCGTGCGAGAGAGACAGAAGAATCTATTGCTTTCTCCGTCTCAATGAAAACCATATGACACGGCAAAACACTTTTTCTTATTCTAGCTCCTCTTGCGCGCATCTATGACAGCATGGTAGATTTTTGAAAATATCTCAAAAAGTAAGCGAGATAGAGCTATTTTACATTAATAATGTTTTTTAGATAATTTTATTTGCTACAAAAAAGGTCTTGTACTTCAATATTTTTTCTCCCTTACTTTTTGAGATATTTTAAAAAATTAAAAAAAAAATTTTCATTTTTTTTTCTATTTTTAAAAATATCTCAAAAAGTAAGCGAGATACAGCTATTTTACATAAATTATGTTTTGTAGATGATTTTATTTGCTACAAAAAAGGTCCAGTACTTCAATATTTTATCTCTCTTACTTTTTGAGATATTTTAAAAAATTAAAAAAAAAATTTGTTTTCGATGACACTGAAAGTGAAAGACTTTTAATAATTAAAAAAAAATTTTAACAAATTAATATTTTTAACAAAAAAATATTATGTGAAAAATATCATATTTCAGAGCTTTTAAAAACTATAAATTACGTTTATTTCAATAATTTTCTATACTTTGTTTTTCAAAAAAAAAATAAAAAAATCATCAAGTGTCTTCTAATTTATCTAATTTCAGTGTCATTGTTTTCGTCATGTGCGCAGGCGGAGCCTGTTACAAGCAACTAGTATGACCAAAAGCAAAACACATGTGCATTGTGTCATGCCGGCGTTTAGTTATTTTAATAATTGTGTTGTGTTAATTTAAATTCTGGAAACAAGTGAAATTGTTACATAAATCATACAATAGTTATCTGATAGTCTCAAGTGAATAATCAAGGTAATCAAAACATTATTTTATTATTTTAAAAAATCGTCATCAGTCTTAGAGGTTAGTTTAATGAAAACACATGGTTATAACCTCCGTGTTGCGGCTTCTAAAGTTAAAAATTATTCACAAAACTACAGCTGGATTAAATTTCCACAACTTTTTCTCAATCAAATAATATTATTTTAAATAATATTAATTTATTAAGTCAAAATATCTATAAGTTCTTGGTTCCTCGGCAGCGTGTGTTTATATACATATGATGTCTGAAAGCTCGTGTAAAATAGTAAGTAATAAAATTCTCAAAATAAACATGACTCATTTTCATAAAATTAAATTTTTTACTGATTACAATTTAAAAAAAAAAATCCAGAACTTAAAAAAAAAGATAAGCTGGCATTTCAAAATTTTTAGAAACTTTTTATCGAAAGTTTCAATTAAACAATAAAAAAAGAAAAATATCAGGTTAAAAACTTAAAAAACTATTAGTGCAATTTTTTATAAATATCTTTTTAGTTGTAATTTAATTAAAAAAAAAAAAAAAAACAAAAATTTTTAGACATCTGCTAACTTCAGTGTCATAAATAATGGCATTAAAGTTAGCTGTCACTTGACTATTTTTTAAAATTATTTAATAACACACATTCGTCATAAAAACTGTTATTAGAAAATTGAATTTTTAATTTCTAAAAATAAATTTTTTTTTCTTATAATTTGTTTTGCACAAATTAAAAAAAAAAAATTCAAAAAATTGTCATCAAATCTCTAAATGAATAAATTATTAAATCGAAAAAAATTTGCTTAGATTTGTGAAAATTTTTTCTAAGTTGTAGTCGAATCACTAAATTAATAAAAAATTTTATGTGAAAACTATAAAAAATTATTGTTTAAATTATTAAATATTTATTAATTAAATATTATTTCAGTTTCATCATGAACATTGACGATGTTTGTACTTTGTGTGGGAACCCCATCGGTGACTGCGAAGTATGTGTTCTTGAAAAAAGCCAATTAAGTACGTTTATTAAGAAGAGTAAGAAGAGAGAAGACACTTTATGGAAATCTTGGGAAGGAAAGGAATCTGTTCAAGTCCACATCGCTTGCAGAGGGCGATATTCTGCAAAACTTGATGCACCACCAGCGAAAAAAAAAAAGCTAAGTGAAAAAGAAACGGTGGAATGTCCGGTACCATCACCATCTCAATGTTCGGTATCACCATTGCCGACTAATAGTGAGTTCGACTTCAAAAATATGTGCTTTTTTTGTAACAAGCCCCTAGATTCAAAGCATAAAAAAGTAATCCAGGTTCAAAACGCTTACCTTAAGTACAAATTGTTAGATATAGCTGAAAACCGGAATGATGATTGTGGGAGAGAAATGATTCTAAGATTAAATAGCGTTAATTGTCTTGTCATGAGTAAAGCTTCCTATCACAAACTATGCTACGGTCGATTTGTTTCGTCAGTTCAAACAGCACCTAAAATACCTGCTACAAAAGAGCGATTAGAAGAAGCATTCAATAATGTCACAAATTTCATTGAAACTTCACACACATATCGATTTGGCATGAATGAATTGCGAAAAAAAATGGGTGATGATTACATGACAGATGAAATGTTTTTCAAAAGATTGAAGGAGAGGTATGGTGATGATATATACGTCGATCGTCACCGTGGAAGAGAAACAAAAGTATATTATAAGCGATTTGAAATCCCCATAATATGTAGTGATTGGTTCTGTGATAATAACCTTGTCAATCAGCGACAGAAATTTATTATTACTAATATTGTTGCAGAGATGATTCGGACCGAAATTCAAGAAATGAAGGCAGAAAATCAATCGTATTCTCCAGCCACAAAATTCCTTGATTCTGTGTCAACAAGTATCCCGCCGCTTTTACAGAATTTTTTAAGTAAACTTGTATATAGTGATAAGTCTAACGAAGAAGATCAAAATTCAGTAAAATTAGATATAATCGCTCATAGTATCATCAGTATGATTCGCCCAAAGTCTTTTATTTCTAATTTGCAACTGGCAATTGCAACCTATGTGCACAGAAAGGCAGGCTCTAAATTAATAATTGATTTACTGTCGAAATTGGGGATTTGTGCTACTTATTACAGTTTACAATTATTTGAAGCCTCTACAATCAAAAATTTACCAGAAGTGATTATTGATGATGATACGTTTGTGCAATTCGTTTTCGGTAACACGGATCATAATGTAGGTACCTTGGACGGACAAGAAACATTTCATTGTTTAGGCGGGATTGCAGCATATTGTCCAAAGGAAAATATATCATATCAGGGTGGTTCGAAGAAGTTAAAAAAAATGCCCACGGCCCACGAAATTGCATCGCTAAAAAAAATTGAAATTGTTTCATATCAGTGTCCTGATATAAGTGGAATGAAAGATATTACTTTTGTTAATACTGCATCTCTTGATTGTGGGGATGCGCCATCACTCTCGTTGCCATATGGAACTTATTTATGGAGTAAATACTTTGGAATTCCTCAAATACCATCTTGGAGAGGATTTATGGAAGTTTTGACAGATGATGAAATACTGTCTTCTAATACAAAGATGAAGGAATCACTTATTGTTTGTGTACCTTTTATCAACTCTCCTCCTTCGAGCCTAACCACCCTTAACACATCTTTACATTATGCTGTTTCTGAAACCAATAAACTGCAACAAAATACAACTTTTGTCACTTACGATCAACCTCTCTATTGGAAAGCAAGATCTATTGTGGCATCATTAGCTGAGACCACTTTAAAAAACGTTGTTGTGCTTCTTGGAATTTTCCATCTATTAATGTCGTACTTAGGAGCAATTGGTTTCACTATGGAAGGTAGTGGACTCGAAGAGTTGTGGTCTGTTATATATGCTCCAGAATCTGTAAAAAAAATGCTGTCTGGGCATGCATTTGCCCGAGCACTTCGAGCTCATATTCTGACATTTACAGCTCTTGGGATTAAAATTTGTAGCACAATTGATGGATCTCCAGAGTGGAAAGAACATTTAGAAACATTGATGAAAGAATGGCCGACAATAACAAGAGGTGACTGCAGAACTGAAAAAATAGTCGAAATGACCAAAGCATTTACGAATCAACTTGAGATCCTTGAGAGTAATGGTTCCACAAGCAAGTTGTGGATTCAGTATTTCAAATGTGTTCTTACTGCATTACGTATTGTTGAGGCTGAAAGGTTAGGTGATTGGAAGCTACATCTTCAATCTGTGAGAGATGCTCTACCTTTATTTCATGCTGCAGGCCTATGCAAAAACAGCACAGATATATTTACAAGACATGGCAAATCTAGAATTGATAATGGATCCAGTGGAATTCGATGAATTTACGAAGGGTGGATTCACTATTCGTAGATCTGACAAAGCGTGGGCAGGCGTTTCCAGAGATATGGTAATTGAACAGACTCTTAACAGATTTTTTGGAACGGATCTCAAACATGGAAGAGGTGTAACACCTAGCGTTGTTACGCGATATTTGCTTGCAATGCCTTCTGCATTCCAAATTATGGAGAAACTTGAAAACTAGTGTAATATTGAAACATCGAACAGTGAACAACACGTCGATCTTGCAGAGAGCAGAATCTCACGTGATAAAGAAGATATCCAGAAACTTTTATTCTGGCTCAACACCCACGACCCCTTCTACCCTCGTAGTTCGGTTGTATCTCTCTCTACAGGTGTGTTTGGTGGACCTGAAATAAATTGTCATATGGCAATTGAAAAAGGACAACAGGCAATGGCTACGATGATTGGTAAAAATGCAGAAGATGTTTCTCTTTCACGATTATACAGAGTTAAGAATTTATCAAATGCTGGAACAGAAGTTCATCTGAGCGATGGTAAACCGCATGTTAAAATTGATAGCTATTTACTTTTTCAAAGAATTTCAGTAGGTCTCGGCAAAAATCCTGAAGAAAGCAATGAAGTATGAGCTTGCTCCATCTCCATTGAGTTTGTTCGATGAAAAAGGTTGGATGAGAAAAAACCGAAAATCTGATTTTTATACACTATTTAAACTCACTATTCAATCTTCACTTATTTTGGACAATTGTACATTTGTCGTTGATGGGGGTTGGTTATTGCGACAAGTAGTGTGGTCTCGTGGAAAAACTTACAACGAAATTTTCAATCTTTACTTGTCCTACATAACCAAATTTTTCCGAGATGATGCCGTTGTAATATTTGATGGATACCGGGATGACATAATTGGTGTAAAATCTTATGAACGATTACGTCGTAAGGAACAATGCATGGCAGCTGATGTAGAAATTGCATTAGATAAATTAATGATCACTACACAAGCTAAATTTCTATCAAATATTGCGAACAAATTTAAATTTGTACAATTATTATCAGCATATTTAATTGCGAATGGTATTAAAACAGTAGTAGCTAATGAAGATGCAGATAGCTTGATTGTAAACACGGAAATTGATATTAAGAATCACAGAAGCTCAGCAGATCCATCAGTTGTAGTGGTAGGAAACGATGTCGATTTGTTCTTGTTGCTCATTGGCCTTACTCCCGAGGACAATATGATGTATTTTTACAAAATCACATCAACTGGTAAACAAAAGAAAGTACTGTATTCAACAGGGTACTATAAAGAATTCAAACCTTTTATTTTGTTTGCTCACGCATTTGCCGGTAGTGATTCAACGAGTGCTATTTACAACAAAGGGAAAAAAAAACGATCATCGATTTACTGCAAAAAAATGACGAATTACGCGATTCTATTTCAATATTCTACAAGCAGGATAGTAATATAGATGACCTTTACGTTGTTGTTGAAAGAATTGTGGGCCATTTATACGCTAAAAACGAGTGGAATGAGTTACCGATAGATGAGCTTCGATACCGACTATTCAACGCTTCATTAGCTAAGGCTAAAAAAGAAATATTGGCATCATTGCCTCCTTCTCGATCAGCATTAATAGAACACGACAAAAGAGTGTACTTTCAAATTCAACACTGGTTGGGAGTTTCACTGGATGCAGAACGATGGGGCTGGAAACGAAACAACCAATTTATGATTCCAATCAAGTCCGAACTGGAACCTGCTCCAGAAGATTTACTAAAATTGGTAAGTTTAATAACGAAATTTTTATTTATAACTGAAAATGTTGAAATATCATTCTACATATAAGTTTTTTAGTTTAATCTGCATTCACCATTAACGTTCAAAAATTCTTTTAGATATCATGCAGATGTGCCAAAAGTAAGTGTGAAAAAAATCTATGTTTATGCAGAAAAGCCGGTCTTCACTGTACTTATATGTGTGCAAATTGTGTGGATGAAGGCACTTATGTTAATAAATCTACTATTAACGAAACAGTTGTAGAAATTGATGATGTTAATGAAAATTTGGCGTCCGAACCTGAAGAAGCTAATGATATTCCAGACGATGACGAAGAAGTCGACTTTAATGACTATTACGAGGAAAAAGATGTAGATTTTGACTATTATTAATTTAATAAGTATCTCGAAGCTAGTCGCGTTATTATCTATATTATTAAAAGAATAAGCGACATTTTGTGACCAGTGTATTTATAGGATATAATGAGTTTTTTTAATGAAATTTAGTACAGTGCAACCTCAATATAACGAATTCCTCGATTGAACGAATTTTTCAAAATCCCCTAGAACTGCCCATAAGAGTCTATATAAAATATACCTTTATATTACGAATAGATTTTTCGAACAACCTCACTATAACGAAAGTTCAATCATTGCCAAATATAGATAGAAACTATTATTGACCTTTATATAACGAATTTCTCAGTAAATAACCTCTACTGCACATGGAGATGTTCCTCCTCTTACAAACATAAAAATAAAGTATTTGTCTACAAATACCACGTCAAAACTGCAGCCACTTGACCAAGGTATAATCCAAAGCTTTAAAATGCACTACAGAAAGGAAGTTGTCAGACAGTATCTTGTTGATTTTGAACATTAATCCCCTACTTCAATTGATGTTTTACAAGCAATGTGGATGATTACTAAAGCTTGGAATCAAGTCAGTACAAATACAATTAAAAATTGTTTCAAGAAGAGTGGATTTAGAGTTCCAGGTGAAGATGAAAATGACGACTTGCCAATCAGAGAAGAATTTAACTTTCAAAACCCTGACTTCGAAGAGTTTGTTACCTTCGATAATGACGTAGCTGTCTGTGGAGAACTCACTGACGCTGACATTGTTGCATCTGTGTTGCCGGCAGTAAATGAAGGAACAGAAGAAGGTGAGGAAGAAAAAAATACAATAAATCAAAATGATTTTACGATAAAAGATGCTCGCAACGCTCTAGATGTTATTAAATATGTATTCTTCAAAAAAGGTGGTTTATCTGACGGTGTAGTTAAATCAATTACGGAGTTAGATTGTGCTTTGGATATACTTACAAACACTGGCAAGCAGACTAAAATTAATGACTTTTTTTCAAGTAAAGAAACGAAAAATGAAGATTAAGCTACTATGATTAAGCTAATAGCATTATTCTTCAATCATGCTATGTTTTCTTTAATAAATTCTATGTTTATTTTGTCTATTTTATTCTATTATATGTCAATTTTGACCTTAAACTGATTCAAATATTTTCAAATAAATAATTCTGTGTTTTGATTTAAATGAGTTCTTATTCATTAGTGGAAATTTCCTTACCTCGTTATAACGAATTTAGTTTAATCTAACCTCTATATAACAAACCTCATTATTACGAATAACCCGATATAACGAAAAATTTTTATTTCCCTTGAGTTTCGTTACATCAAGGTTGCACTGTATTAAGGTTGTACGGACACTAATGCACTTTAAAAGATCAGAAGCTAATTTTTTGGTATGTTATGGATTGCTATCTCATACGTCTAAATTAATTTTTTGAAATAGATCCGTCGAAAGGTTATCCTTTAATATTGTTTTTGTTAATTAAATTATTAAATTATTTTATTTAATAATAATGTAAGGTAACGATTAAACTATAGTAATGAATTTTCGTATTCAAATTTTTAATTTTAATCAAAAAAAATTTAGATTCTACTATGACTTACGGGGTACTGTCCGTGCAACCTTAATTTAGTATCATTAAAAAGGTCGAGACCTGAATTGATGCCTTTTCAATTTTTCATATGCTTTTGTAAAATGGTTTGTTTATTGTGATGCTGTAGGATGCTTGTAATTGATTTTTTTACATTTATTGTATTTTTTTTATTAAAAATAAAAAATATATGTCATAAAAAAGAAGTATTTTTTGAATTAATTATAATAACCGTCTCTATTTGCCCCATCATTCTTTAAATTTCATCCTTCTAACCTTAAACAGTCATCAAGTCTTTATCAGTGGAAAGCTTCGTATAAAGTATCAGGTAAGAGAGTAATCATGTTTTCTTTAGTATATCTCAAAAAGTAAGGGAGAAAAAATATTGAAGTACTGGACCTTTTTTGTAGCAAATAAAATTATCTACAAAACATAATTTATGTAAAATAGCTGTATCTCGCTAATTTTTTGAGATATTTTCAAAAATAGAAAAAGAAATGAAAATTTTTTTTTAATTTTTTAAAATATCTCAAAAAGTAAGGGAGATAAAATATTGAAATATTAGACCTTTTTTGTAGCAAATAAAATTATCTACAAAACATTATTGATGTAAAATAGCTCTATCCCGCTTACTTTTTGAGATATTTTCAAAAATCTACCATACTGTCATAGATGCGCGCAAGAGGAGCTAGAATAAGAAAAAGTGTTTTGCCGTGTCATATGGTTTTCATTGAGACGGAGAAAGCAATAGATTCTTTTGTCTCTCTCGCACGCATGTAAGCAACGAGTTTGCGCACGCGCGCCACGGTGACCGTAGCTATAATGAGTAAGAGCGAAATAGCTGAATTTTCTGTCTCTTTCTACAAAGGCGTAGGACTGAAACATAAATCACCTGTCTTTAATAAATTTTTTTACCTGCAGGTAAAAGTCTAAAAATATAAATGCTACATCAAAATTTATAAAAAAAATTTAAAATTCAATTAAAAAAAAATTTTTTTAAATTAAACCCGTTTTGAGCGAAATATTGAGGTAAATCCGTTTCCACCCCTTCAGTTTTAATAGAAGGGATGAAAAAAAAATTTTTTTTTTCTCTACGATTGTTGTTTATAATTTAAAAAAAAAATAAAAAAAAACATTGAAAAAGTCCAATTTATGTATTTTTTATTAAATTTTTATTTTTTAAACCCTTTATACTGTCCTAGGGGTGAAAGGATGCGTTTCAGAAAAAAAATGGTCAGAGAGAGGTAGGCCTAAAATATTATGCTCTACAACTTTTATTTGAAACTTTTTTTAATATTTTCAAAATTTAACCCAAAAATCGTATTTTGGGTTAGTCTTTCATTTTTTTCACCCTCTTCCCGGGGGTTGAAAATTTTTTTACTTTGCCCACAGTTTTCAACGAATTTTCCTGATTATTTCCATATAAATTTATCCGTATATGTAAAAAACCCGATTTCACTGTCTTTTTGACTGGACTATTTCTTTCTTTACGATATTGATATGGTGTATAAGTAATTGTGTAGTCTAACTATTGGCCTTGTTCAAATTTATTAAGTTCTTAGCTGGACTGAGTTTAAATAATTATATCTTGTATTGTTCTCTATTAATATTCTTTAGAGAGAATATACTTTTATTTTTCGGTATAAAATCTGCTAAAAGCTTAGTAAACTTGAACTAGCCTGTTACAGAGAATTCATTAATGATAACACTTCATACAATATTAAGTCTATAGACTTAATTGTATGATGAAGGCTGTATATCTATCTTCTTTAGTTTCTAAATATGCTTTTACAGAGACCGAAACATTCCTTTTAATGGACAGAGAGAAACGCTTCGCAGAGTTTTACACGATATTGACTTTACCTACAAACGTCGTGATGGCATTTATTACCTTATCGAAAGGCCGGATATTGTAAGGAAACGTCAGCGTTTTATGGAAAAATATATTGATGCCAAACTACAGGGCTACTACCCTGTTTTTGAAGATGAAACCTGGACTTACAAAAAAGGAACTAGTAAAACTCGAGAATAGCAAAACAATGATAGCCGAAGCTGCTCTGTGAAATCAAATGATACCGGTGGGCGGTACATTATTTGCGATGCAGGTGGAAAAAATGGATTCATCCCAAATGCTTCGTTGATTCTTTCAATAACATAGAAACCAACAAGCTTCGATGATTATCATGGTGACATGGACAGCGAAATGTTCCATAAGTGGATGACTGAAAAACTCCTTCCAAATTTGCCACCAAAATCCATGATAGTCATGGACAATGCTCCATACCACTATGTGCAAGTAAGTAATTATATCTTTTCGTAAAGAAGGGTATTTTCTATTTTCGACGACGTATTACTTCGACGTTAGCCTAATGAAATGAATGTTTCTTTCAGCTTGAAAAACAACCTACGGCAAAGTGGAGGAGAAATGAGATAGAAGTGTGGCTTGAAAAAAATAACATTGACTTCAAGCGTGGCTCATTTAAAGCCGTACTATTGGAACTCTGTAGAGCAAACAAGAAGCCAATCAAATATATCATCGATGAGCTTCTGGCTAAAAACACTGACCACTTAGTCAATCGTTTACCACCATATCATTGCATTTACAACCCGATTGAAATGGTTCAAGGACTGGAGAAACGCCACTTTGATAAAAACGTAGGTCTTGGTCATGACTACTCCGAGGACAGTATGTTGATGCATTGGAAAAATGCTGTGGATTCAGTGACGCCAGAAGTATGGAAAAATTGTGATGAAAAAGTCGAAAAAAGAATTTTTGAAGACTATTAACGCGAATTCGGCAACAAGCAAAAAATTCCGAACTTTGACGAAGTACCCGATGATGAAGACCCAGAATCCGAAGACGATGATCCAGATGACTCGAAGCTGCCTATTGATGCTGACTCTGTAAAAAGAGCATTGTTTGCAAATGGCAACACAGACAGTAATGCAGAACCATCAGTAAACAATGACTCAGTTACTGAGGAAAAAAAAACAGAAGATCCCGTAGCATCAACTATGACTTCAGATGAAAATCAATTACCACTTCGTAACAATTTTACTTCATTTAATGATTGTCTTTCAGAATTGGTTAAAAGAACCAGAAGAAACAGTGATTTCTAATCAGACCGGGATTGCACTCCGAGTCTTTGATTTGAAAACATTATTGTCATCTCACTTACTCAATGATAAGGTACTTTGAGAACTGAAGTATTGTTAAATATTAAGAGTTAATCTTATAAAGAAAGCATTTTTAACTAAAATAATAGTGTCATTGTTAATCTTTAACTCTTACTTTTACAGATTATTAATTTGTATCTGCGATTAGTTGTCCAAAGTGAAGGATCACACTTTTATGCGTTTGATACCCACTTTTACCCGCAGCTGTTAAAATCGTACGACAACGTAAAGAACTACACAAAAAATGTAGACATATTTTCCAAAAAAACCGTGTTTATTCCTGTTCATTCGGCAGAATTAAGACATTGGTCATTATGTGTTATACATTTTGATCAAAAGAAAATATCTTATTACGACAGTCTGATGTCAATAAATCATGTATCACGGTAAGAGCACATAGATTTATGAAATAAACCAATGTAATCTTCTTCAAATTAAATTATTTTGGGTTTTAGACAATTTTCCAGTATCTTCGCCAAGAACACTTAAACAAAAAATCACCTCATTGGAACGATTCAAATTGGAAAGACATTTAGGAAACGGTATGTCTCAAATTTTCGATATCATTAAATGTGAAAATATGGTTTAAATTTAACTGGGTTACATTGCATTCGGAACTTGCCTCAACAAAACAATTTAACGGATTGTGGTGTTTCTGTGTGTAAATTTGCTCATTATATATGTGAGAACGCACCGTTTACATTTACTGCTGCTGACATGCCAAAAATTCGAAGAACAATGATGGAGGAAATTGTTTTATTAAAGTTGCAACCAATAACACCTCAAGAACCCCAGACTTCTGCAATCAGTCGATCAATATCGTCATTTGCGAGAGATCTTAAACAAGCACGTGTCCCAACAAAGACGTGTTCCAAAAAGAAGGAGCCACCAAGGAAATCTTCGACTTCTGTAAGTAATATTAATTATAAAACTTTGTACAGTAATTTGAAAATGAATTTAAAATGTATTCTACTTATTCTCAGAAGGAGCTTTCTTCAACCGTGAAACCGCTTTGTGAGATACGGACTAGCTTAGAAGGGGTCTATTTGCACCAATCGGCAAATTTGCATCAAGGTGATCCACGATTTCATGAAGATCGCCGAAATGCTCAATGTACGGCCATTGCGGCGTACAGTATAGCTGCATTGATCTTAAATAACGGAGAAATTTCAAGGACATTCTTAGACAATATTGTGAGAGATGGAGATAAATATTATGTAGACTGCAAAAAAGAGAATCAAGTGAAGGAGGCATTTCTACAACCTGAAGAGCTGCTGAAGATATTCCATGTTAATTATCAAGAAGTAACAATTGATATCGATCAATGTGGTGAAGGACAATTTTTTTCATCGGGTCTTATTACATCTCTGACTGCTGCTATTGATTATTATGTAGAGATTTTTATTTATAGAGATTAATATTTTAGATATCTTTAAGAAATTATTTACAGCATCTCGGACACTTCCATTCTTCAGGTGGTGGCGAAGAAATTTTAGCGCAGCTAAAATGACATGGCAACCAACATTGCGAACAATACGCAGATTTAAAATAAATATTTATCTTGCCTCTACAGAAACCGCAGGAATAATTGGGCTTTAACGATTCTTTTTGTGCAAGATTTTTCAAAAAATCACTCCATATTTTTGGCTCAAAATAACAACTTAAGTCACTAATCCTAATTTTTGTACTGCCGTAGATAACTGCATCCGATAATTTCTTCTTCAATGCATCATTTGAAGCAATTTTACCATCACCATCAATAATACTGAGAGCAGCCTTTTTTAATATAAGATTTAAAAATTTCCTGATATTTTCTCCTCTAGTATCTTGAACAGAAGAGTCTCCAGGATCTTGAACCAGATCTTGGACACCGGTAGCTAGGACAGGAAGAGTATTGTTAATGATACTCTCAACAGAGTCTCCAGGATCTTGAACTAGTTCTTCTTTCTCAGCACCGACTTCATGAGAATTGTTTTCAATAGAAATACCAGAAGCTGGGACAAACACAATGGATTCTTTAAATTCTTCATCCAAATTGTGAAAAGTGTCCAAGATGTCAAATAAATAAGTCAGTTTTAAATTTTGTTGGTCCAGATGAGACTGACAGATATTTTTTTCAATCTTTGTAGATATTTTTTTGTGTGCGACTCGATTCCTTAATTTCTCGTCGCTTTCTTGTAAATTGTCGCATGGATTACGTCTTTTATTACTGGCAACTTTCTTTTCCATTTTGTCAACCCAGGATTCCATTTTCGCTTTTTTTGGCTGCAAAAAAAAAATAAAATTAACAACACTATATAACAACATAATTTAAAGAAAGACTTAGTATGAACTTACATTAGTCTCGTGATTATGAGTCGATTCCCAGGATTTTATCTCATATTTTTTTTTATCGATGTTCAGCCGGCATATAAGTTTCAAACTGCAATGTTCTCTGTTATCATATAAATATTTTATAAATTTATGCCTGTTCACTATAATTAAATATATATTGAAGACAACATTTGTTTTAAAAATAATTACTTACGGAAGTATGTCCTCCCCACGTTTCGGACCACAGACACAATAAATATAAAACTCATAATAGAACAATTTATCACCAAATAGATTCTTTCTAATACGTTGGGAACAAAATTGTTTCATTGTTTTCGATGCCCAAATTTTCAGTCGGTAGTTTGTACACATTTCATAAGCATCAATTAACTTAAAAAAATCCATTAAATCATAAAACTCTTGAGAAACCCAAAATAAATCCGCCATAGCCGAAACCAATAGAAAACGTTAAAGTAATGAATAATCCAAGTTAAACTATTTAAGTTAATAACAAAATAATCAAGTTGAGTTGAATAATGTAATTATGAGATTACAAAAAGAGTACATGAACAATAAAATTCGATACAGAGGAAAGTAAATTTTGGTTGAATAGATAAAGGTATACAATGAATTAAGATTGCGATCGAAATGCTGAAGAGGAAAATTAAACATTGATGCCAAAGTATACGTTTAAAAATATACAATGTATGCTACGAGGTTACAAAGCAAAGCTTCCGACAGCAGCCGCATATAGGCTCCATGATTATTCAAGTGAGTTAGCTATCTTCAATGTAAAAAAAAGGCGGGATAAACAAATCATTCGAATTTAAAATTGTACAAACGAATAATGACAATCAATAATAGTCGATAATTTTAATCGATGAATGAATAACCGTCCTTCGAATTTGAAAATTATGTGATTTATTTATAATCCATGTGCATAAACATTAATCCATTCAATGATATAAATGTTACTAATAAAATGAAATTAGAACAATAAATTATTTTAAAACTATACTTCTATTACCAGGCTTAAAATAAGTAACACAACTAAATAGATTTTAAAAACAATATTTCACTTTTTCAATGAAGTGAAGTTAAGATAAACTAAATACATAAAGCCAATCCATGGTGGATGGGCCACCTTTAAACCCAACCCCGCTCGACTTCACAGATATTTACTTTTTGTTTTCTATAGACAAATCCAACAAAACGCAAATCAAAATTTTTTTACAGAAAAGCGAATAAAAAATCAAAAATAAAAAAATCTATTTATTCTAAAATATCCATGACTGACAAAAATTAATCGATTGGAAATTAAAAATTTTTTATATGTATTTCTGAAAAAAAAAGTTATGCACTTGAAATTTGGAAGTTTTTTTTTGCTATCGAGAAAAACCAAATATCCCTGATTAAAAAAAAATATTGAGACAAAGAAAACAAGATTGAAAAGTATTAGTTTTTTAGTCAATCCAATACTTTTCAATACTTTTTTCTTTGTCTCAATACTTTTTTAACTTCCCGCTAAAAATCTCAGATTTTCAAAAATCGAGAAGTTATTGTTTTCACCCCGTTTTACAAAAATCGAGTTTTCATCAGATCTCGACGTTTGAAGGTCACAGGAAGCTTCCCTGACTATTTTTACGATGATTTCCGTACGTCTGTATGTGTGTGTGTGTGTGTGTGTGTGTGTGTGTGTGTGTGTGTGTGTGTGTGTGTGTGTGTGTGTGTGTGTGTGTGTGTGT